GGGGGAATTACGCCATCCTTTAGCATGCACATCTTAATGCTTATGGTGTCCCTCACTGTTTCTAGTATGAAAAATACCCTGCAACTGAGGCCTGAGATTTTGAGTGTTTCTGTGTTTTGATGCATCACCTTTACACGCTGAGTTTCTTAAGACGGATTCAGATTCACCATTTCTGTGTAAAAATCCAAACATTAACATTTTGAGAAATTATCTCATTCTTGCTCAGAGTTACATGAGAAACATTACACTTTTTTAATGTCTGTGCAGTCACTGTGAAACTAAAACCAGCATCTGGTTACTGCTGCGCTCGGGCTGCAGATAACCTCGCTGACATGGCAACAAGACATTTTTATCTCTCAGTTTCAAACACTGATTAGGTGTTAATTAGAAGTTCTGGCTGGCAGATTTTTTTTTTAACTTCCTGGCAGTTTGGCTTGTTGGTTTCATGTTCATGCCAAGTTAAGAAAATTGGTTTGTAGAATTTGTCTAATATTTTTCTGAGGCACTGATCTCATCTAATTCTTGGGGAAAGAAAGTAAATAGTATACCGCCCACCATCTTGAACTATGCCTTCACTATTTTAGAACTGATATATACATTAAAAATACTTCTAGAATTGTTTGAAACACTTTAAAACCACATTGGCAATACAAGAAGAACAATATGTACTTCTTGTATATTCACTGTAGAAAATCTGGAAATCACTGTCTTTTTCTGACCTTTGATTTTTTTTTTTTCTCACTGAATTTAGCTATAACACTGATTTATGGCAGTGGATGTTAAACAGGATATGTTGTTATATGACAGATTCCAGTTGGTGTAGTGATTGAGTTTTACAATTAGATTTGAGATGTACTCACAATTTCACACTAAAGCAGTAAACATGCAGACCTCCCATATTTGCTTCTGTATCATACACCGAAATGCATTTTTTAAAAATGGAGATTTTCCAGCGCAGTTTTGTGACTTTTAAAATCACGACTTTAAATTGTGAATTTAAATTCACGTGACATCTTTGTATTTCTAAAATTTCCTTTATTTAAGGTGTTTACGTGTGTAAAAACAGTAATTACACCAACAACAAATACTGACCAGTGACCACTGCTGTAGTACAATTAACCAGGATTTAAAGTTGCAGAAAAATACTTTAATTAGTTCGATTATTGTGTAATTTAATGTAAAAATCTTGTACATTTGATGCATATTTAACAGGATAAAATATGGCAGCATACTTTCATTTATATGTTCAAAAAATGTCAAAATTAAGTTTATAAACTAGCAAATGGGTTTATCATTATGAAAATATCCAGTTAATTTGAGACTATTATGTTACATAAGCTGTTAAATGTAACTTTACATCAAAATGTTGAATAAACAACAGATCTTCACATTTAAAGAAGGTAAGCCCACATATGAAATGATTGGATTTATCTTTATTTAACACCAGAAAATATAATTCCCCATTGTAATATACTGTTAATTTATGATCATAGTAAGTTTAATATGATTCTTTATAAATAACTTCACATTCAAATATGAAATATTTCACAGAAGTTTACTGTAAAAAAAAAAAGTGTGCACTAATTACATTGCTGGATTTAACTTGGAAAAATCAATTTTAAAATGGTTAACCTTGATTATGATATTATTATTATACTTAAAACAAGCTGCTGTCATATGTAATATGTTTCTTACCACATGAAATTAATGGATGGACATTTTAAAAATATGCCGTTAATTAAAGATTACATTAAAAAAAAACGCGTTAAACCTTTCTTTTAATAAGGTTATCAGAGTAACAGTATTTTGCCTGCAGCATTGTGGTCAAATGACGAATCATGAAATGATGAGTTTGCTTTATAATGCCATCATCAAACCATTAGGAACCTGGTGCAAAAATCACACACATACAAAAAAGACCTACTTGTACACTCCTAAACTATCGTGATGAATCAGATGAATGTTTCAGTCCCATGAATCAGATCTCGTTCAAATACAGACGAGGTTGGAAGGAACTGATGAACAGTTGAAGAACAGTAGAAATTTGCAAAGAGTGTGTTTATGATAATACATTTGCATTTGGAGCTTGTTGCTACATATTGATATGAGGGTGAATTGAAAAAAAAAAAAACACATAAATTTGTATGAATCCATAGTCATTGGTATGCTTAGATGTCAATAACCTGGTGGCCCTGTTATTTAGTGAATGACAGTTTAAATGGTGATAAAAAAAACAACCCTTTTGCAAATGTCTACATAATCAACCAACCTACAGGCTGCAAGCACATGTGAAAGAGTGCATAAATTTCATGCGAGGACCCATCCTTTCTTTGTACGACAATGAAACACCAGCATAAACTGCATCCTCCAAAACTGGCAGATGTTCAGTCAGTAGTAGGATGCAAACATCAACACAACACCACCAGAAGATTGTGATGTGGCCATACCTAATGGTCTGACCCACAGATAATATGAAGTACTCTGCTGCCAAAGAAGAACTTCACTACACATAAGTAAGACAGGGAATCATTAACTGTTAGCCACAGACTGTAGGGTCAGTGGGTCTGACTGTATTTCAATGTTGAATCCCGACCTTCATATCCCCTGTGGACCTTGATATCCCTGCTTGTTCAACAACAAGAAACCAAAAACTGTATCATGCATGAACTCAAAATGAGGTAAATATGACACTGCTGATAGAAATGTCTCATTCCTGTCCCATAATGTACTGGGAAATCAGAGGGAAAAGGCCAATACAGAACTTGCTGGAGAATCATCAGAATTTTACATTTTCTTTAACATCAAGTAATCTAGTAGAAGTGGTCTGTAAATGAATGGTTATCTTAAAAAAAAAAAAACTGTAAACAGCTCAATCAGGAAAAACAGGGACTCCAAGTCTGACATTACAAAGATTCAATTTATGAGGCCCCCTTTAATCTGATGCATGTGCTTTAACTCAGAGAACCAAAATCGGCTGTGTTAGCTTAGCTTAGCTTTACCAGCAATTTGTACTGGAATGGGAGAAATTCCTTCATGTGTTCAGCCATGGAGTAACAACCACCGGGACAGATCGTAAATAATATGGGGTCACCTTAATGGGTTCCTGAATGAAAGAAGAAATTTCATTCACGTAGACACCTTTTCTGATTTTATTAAAGAAATGGGGGGGGGGCAAATGCAAGCTACCTGAGGGAAAAAAGAGCTGGAGTACAAAAACGAAAATATTGAAGCAACAGAAGGCAGATGTGACTAAAGTTAACGATGCACACATCCAAGCTGAAGTACTCAAGGAGCAGAAGGAATTTGAGAGTAAGAAACATCTGGAAGAGATAAGAACTGGAGCAGAAATACAAAGATCTGGAGGAGAAGGATAAACTTCTGCAGAAAAAACATCAGCTCCAGGAGAAATGTATGCAGCCTTAAGAGCCGGAGAACATAAAAAGTCAGTATGCACAGCTGGAGGAAAAAAATAAACAGCTGGAGCTCGAACACCAAATAATGGAGAAAAAGATCCATCTGGAAGTATCAGAACTGGAAACAAAGTTAAAAGATGCACACATGATCATTGAAATAGAGGATGATTGCAAGAAAAATCTGGAAAACTGGAGGAAATGCTGAAATATTCAAAGAAAAGATGCAACTGGAAAATGAGCACAAAGAAATGGAGATCAAAAAGTTTGAGTTGGGTTGGCGATGTGTCGGGTTCTTTAATCAACTCCCCAGCTTGAATAATTCTGTTGGGTTATAGTTTGGGTAGCTTTGATCAAATATTAGTTCAAACTTTTACTATCATCCTCCATCTATCAGCCACATCGTGCTAGCGCTGGTTCATGTTATAGCAGTCTTCATATAAAAATGTGTTAAACAAAAAAAAAGAAAAATGCTGTTGCTAGATAGCCAAGCTACATTCACTACATAATGACATTTGGGGAAAGCACTGCTTTCATCTAATTCTTGTATTTACAGCATTAAAGTAGTCTTTAGCAGTTTTATCAACTAAATAAACACTGCATATCTGTGAACTAATCATAAGTTATCTAAAGTACACTCAACAAAAATATAAACGCAACACCTTTGTTACTGCTCCCATTCCCCATGGGATGGACGTAGAGACCTAAAATTCATTCCAGATACACAATATAACCATCCCTCCCAAACAGTGGTCACAAATCAGTCCAAATGTGTG